AGTTGAGTGTACAGAAGTTCTCAGATGTGAGACTGCACAGAATCCCTCCTTTTCTCTTCAACATTCTTCTGTATCTTAAACCATTTCTATTGCTTCCCAAGGCTGAAATCAGCAATTACATTTACTTTACATGGATTGTCTCTAAAAAACACAAGGAATTTAATCATCACAGCAGTCCTGTGAGAGACTATCTCCTGGCCTCACATGACAGAAGCAGCAGTGCCAGGCTCAACTTCACTGAGCCTTGGCCAAGATGACCCAGACTGTCCATCTTGAGCTTAGGCTCACCTGGCTCCACAGGACTCAGCAGGTCCCACCCTCACCAGGACTTTGTCAAGGCACATGTGCTTCCAGCTTCTCCCTTTTAATGTGTTCTGAGTCTACCCCTCTTCTTTCTCAAGACATTATCACAATTCTTTAGATTTCCTGCCAACTTTTCAAAAGTACTTTTTACTACTGCTTTCCCACTCATTCAGTCCTTGGGGATCCAAACTATGCCCCACCTGTCCAGGTGATTCTTAAAAAACTTACACGTTACACCCAACAGGAATCCCTAACCTTTTCCTCTGTCCACAGTGACACTAATGAGAGTGGTGCAAAGGCCATGCAATGAATGTCACAGTCCTCCCTGGGAACAAGACCACAGGACTAGGGAGGTCTACAGGCAGTTAGAGAGCAATTCCTTTCCTCCCACACTGAACATTAAGTTGCAAGCTGATGCATACGTGACATCTGTTCTGTCATGGACTCTTCAAATAGGAATACATCTGGGATGTACAAACTGGAAAATGTGTGAGATGTCTTTTCCCTGCACAACCCCCAGTGTGCTGCCTAGTTACTAGGGCTCAAAACCTTCCCTAAGCCCCAAATGTGGATCTTGGTAACTTTGCCCATGTAATGGCAGCCAGAGTCCCCTTTTCCATCCTCACTGCACAAAAAGGATCTCACCTCTCTCAACTGAGTATTTTTGGCTTCCCAGTCACCAACCTCCAGTCCAACCAGACTTGTACCCACTGTCAGTGACCCTCCTAAAACAAAAGTCTGGCCATACTACTACTCTTTCTCACAAACTACGAGTTCCTACTGCCTTTAAAATGAGGACAATTTCTCCAAAATTTCAATTCCATTCAACTTTTCAGTCTTGTCTCTCATTTATTGTATTCTCTTCATGTACCCATAACCCGTGCCAGGCCACTCCTCATTCCTTGCCCGTGCATGCACTTTTGAACCTCCTAGGCTTTCCCTTAGCCTGGGAATACCCTTCCTCCCCAAACCTTCCTTCTACCGAGGCTCAGAAAATACCCCCTTGGCCAAACCTCTCTTTCCCTTTAATTAATCCCTCCGGTCCCTTCAGCATGATCTGTGTTCCTCTAAGCATCTCAGTCAGGCTGACTCATCTCTTCACTCCTTGCTTCCAACACTGGGTTTTACACACATACGCATTCATTCATTGAAGAAATCAAATGTTAGAGGCCTAACATTTACAAAATATTTGGAGTATCATTAATTTCAAATGAAGTCATAAGAGTTGTGTATTAGCTGTGAAAACCAAAAAAATGTAAACTACAAGTATCAGCACAAACCCATTTCCATTTCCATACATCAGTGGACCCCTAAGGAACTATACCAAATAAATGTAGGGCCTAGATTAACAAGGCTGAACCACTCCACTTTTTTGGTGTCACTGGGGTATTATTATGACTGGGTGGAAATCAAATTAACACTTCGCCATCTGCTCCTATCACCCCGTCTGTCAGCAGAGGCTTCATCAATGACTGCGATGAAGCAGAGTGCTCTTGTGGTTTCAGGTTTCAAAACCTCCGCACCTGCTAATGGAGCAGCAGTGGTCAGGGAAAGACCTGCCCCCAGCTTGTCCTCTCAGAGCAGGGGAGTGGGAGTGCAGGCGGGGCAGGGACAGCAGGAGGACGAGGGTTATTTGGAGCAAGAGCTGGCAAGATGGAGGATTGCCATCATACAGAGGATGGATGTTAAGCAGTGAATGACCAGGTACCCACATAGTAGCCTTCCCAGTGTAGGCAGAATATATGCATGGCAGAAGCCAGAAACACACTCAAAGCTAATCTCATTTGTTTTGATACAGATCCATTTTAGATATTATTTTTGCAAAGCAGCCATGATGCCTGCGCTCTCATACAGGTCACCAAGAACTAGGTTAAGGGCATTGAAGACAATTTCTTTTAAAGTTGCTCCAGTGATTTCAAAAAGAAAACTCAAGGCTAGATAAACTAGAAAACCAGCAACAGGTAAGGCTCTTCACAACCTGTATAAAATCCAAGCCTAAGAACCCAGTCCTAGGATTACCCTTTTTGTTCCAACCCACAGTAAATCTTAAAACTACCCAGAACAACTCTTTACCACAAGTGTGTGTTGTTTTCAATGAAAAAAACTCTTATTTTCATAATTTTCATACCACTATTTTCTTTTTTATTTAAAATATTATAACCAGTTAACATACTAGATGACATGGTTTACACTCCAGGGGTGCATGTTTCATGACCAGGGTGCAGGTGAGTCAACCACAACAAGTACCTCAGCATTCCCTACAAAGTGCCCCGTTTCATTTTGCCTAAAGGAGAGGAGAGAGAACGGAACACAGGGAAGGAAGAGGAATGAAGAAGGAGTGGCATCGTACAGGGATAAAACTGTCAATTATCATACTTAGGTTTCAGGTTTTAGAACCTGCTGAACAGGATAAACTGTAATGAGAAAATAGATGTCACAGTCCAGGCAGACAGCTAGTTCAGTTTAACTTCATCATTCAGGTAAAAGATTAACAGCTTCTCAAAAATATACCAAATATTGGGCCTACAAAAGTAATTTATTTCTTTGTAAAATTTACTAAGATTTATTCTTTTTGTAAAATGTAAAGAATGGACTGATATCACAAGCAGGTTTCTACTTACAAAAACTGACAGTAATCATGTCCGACGAGCACATCTAACACAATTATCTGAGATACAGTGACAGATTTTACACGTGTCTCTCTCTTACTGAAGCAGTATTTTACATACTGGTATTGTGTCAACATTGGCTATAAAGTTTTTAACACACATAGTTCACACTCAGTTCTAAGAGCTAACAGTAAGGGCAACAGCTTACTTGGGAAAGCATAGAAAATTAGTGTGAGGTAGTTCAATAAAAGCCTAGTTTAATTTGTATGTTATTGTGAGAATAGAACATTGTTCAAAACTAATCCACAGGTAATATTCAAAGTTACAGTAACAAGAATCTAAGCCAGAAGTGGCCAGAAATTTTTACTCTTACTAGACTCTCCTTATAAGAGCACTTAACGAAGAGCAGTTTGCAATTAATTAGGACTTTTGTTTTCCTTACAAGTTTTCTAATTTACCCCAAACTATGCATTTCTGCTTCAATGCCCTTAACTCTTCATCTTTCTTCCTATTAAGGAAAATTTTCCTCTGATTCAGGAAAAACCTAAGAGAGATCTGTAGAAACACAATGTATACTAAAATGTAAAGCATACAGAGGCAACATTTAAGAGGGTTGTTAATGACAGAACAGTGGTGTCTGGTTTTTCTACAGGTAAGAGAAGTTTACTGGGGTCACAGGGCTTCATGCATTGACTCTACAGCTAATGCGTGACTAATGAACAACACTCACAGACAAATTACAACAGTATTTTTGGAAACAGACTATGTTTTTACCTCAAAATGTTGTACAGGCATATGCCTAGGCAACACTGAGTAGTTAAGTCTTCACTTGTGTAGCACATAGGGCCAACAGTGTAAACCACGTCTTATCTGTAACCCCGAAAACAGCTTCACTTGCCCGCTTCTGATTTCACCATCAGACACTGATGTCCTCTTCACCTTCATCTTTTTAGACAACACAGCAGGATTAGATGGAACAGAATACCGAAAAGGCCTTGCATACAATCAAGCTTCTTGGTACTGTGAAAGGGTGTGTGTGGCAGCCTTCTCATTTAAGAGGCTGACATTTCTCTTAGTGCAATCTGGTGTGAGGCACTGTGCCTTTACCAGCTTGGAAGAGTGCATACCAGGAACAAACCACAGCTGACAGTATGCGACAAAATGAGAATTGTTCAGGAAACAGTATGAAAGAGTTGAGATGCTGTTTATATATATTATAATTAAGCAATCCCAACAACACATTTTACAAATGGTCACTACACATTAGATGGCAACAAAATACTAACCAGGAAGAAGTATGCAGGAAGAATCAGTGTCTCCTTCCTAACCTACAAAGTTGAGTCAACAATCTTAGTCAAAATAATTTTCTGACAGTTAAGATGACAGGCATGTTAAGTATGCAAAATTAAAAAAACAAAGTTATAAGCTTGGTGGCTTTATATAAGTACTGCTTGACAGAAATCTTATTTGTAACTTCTCTTTAATATAGACCCCACAAATGTTTAAGATGTTCTAAAGGTTCAAAAAGCTTCTAAACTAAAAAGAGCCAGTAACATGTTTAACTTCACAGATTTAAGAGAAGAGGGAAAGTTGTACTTAGATATTACATTTAAAAAATCTAGGGCACACAACATTTAATGACAGACATTGTTTTCAGGAATGAATTTGTTAAGTAGTTTAGTCTACATTAACTAATAAGTTAGTTTTCTCTAAATAAACTGAGAACAAGCTGGTTGGCAAGAGGGAGCTAGCATTTAAAACAAATTATACAGCAGGAACACCTTGTTTTCCTTACTTAACCAAGATCTGTTATCAATAGACATGGCTTTTATAAAATATGGGAAACTTCTGAAAATATGTCAATTGTTAAAGTGCAATAGTGAAATAATCCTAGAGAAAATAAAGCTAATTAACTGTCAAATTAACATAAGCTAAGGACACATTTCATGCTCAAATCTCTGCTGAAATCGTAAATCCAACCATTTCTACATTTCAAGAGGTGTTATAGTCTCAAATTCTAATTTGCCTAATAAATGCGCCATGTTGTATGAGTAGAAAAGAGATTGATAAAAAGGCCGACAACTTCAAAAGAGGCTAAAAATCAAGACTTTATATCATCAAAAACACACTTGATATTTCAAAGCATATAAAAAGCTAATGTACTTTAATCCTATATATTGCACATTAACAATGACCTAAAATACCTTACTCAAAAGGAATTTTGCCCTAAGTATATGAACAACATGCCAAGCAAACTTTCAGACACTGTGTGCTGAGCTGTACCAGTACTTGCTCCTGTTGGTCATTAATTTCAGTGGACTTTCTGCCTAGAACCTTGTCACTTCTGTAAGTATGCTTTTCCCGTTCATTACACGAACTCCCTCTTGTTCCCAAAATAATAAAAGGTGCCTAAGGTATTACAATGTATTTCAGAGATCATGAGACTTCAATGATATTTTACTTAAGAACAATCCAGTTGTAGAGAAATAATTCTGCAGATATAAAATGTAAACAGGTAACATACACACATACACTTGTCAGGAGCAGCACCATTCTTACACTACTCAACATCCACATTGCATGTTTTATTGGAAATCAGGTCTAAAAAACAAAAAGACTCAGACTGAGTAACGACCACTTCTGCCTGCTCTGCTCAATGTGAAGAAACACACCTTAGAAAATGACACCTTATATATGGCTGTGTGCTACTATTTTCAGATGAACGGTATATTGCTCATTTAATACATCACCGTCAGAAACCTAAGTAAGCTTTGGAACCTCCTGATAGCTAGTATAAGTATGATGATACTACAGGGAAAATCAAATGGCCAGAAACACCTTGAGAACTGTGCTCAACTGACTGACACTAGAATAGGAAACTGGATAGGTCCTAGCGCCCAATGCTGCAGTAAAGGGAAAGACTAGACTCCAGATGATTGCTGGGACCTACAGCCTGAGTACATTAACTTAGTATATACAAAAACAGGCTCATAGCTAGTACAAGCGAACCATTTGTTTATTTGCATCGAAATGTATTATTCATGAAGTATCCTCTTGACTTTAGGTGATCATAAGCTTTGAGCCACAAATTTTCAGAAAACACCATGTTCTCTTTACTTTTGGTTGAGTGGAATGGGGGTATACAGTAGGATGGTGGTAGACGCCCAGCATCTTTGAAGACATGCTCTGAGTTACTCAGCCATTTAGGTGGTGGCCTTTTGCCAAAATTCATTTGGGGTTACCTACGAACTGTTGTAACTAAATTAGGATGGCCAAGTAGCAAATATCGGAGGTTTTTTAACACGTTCATCACTTACAGTAGTTATTCCTGAATATAACTGGTTACAGGTTATTTTCCCTCATTCCTCTGGGGTTATTTCATTGATAAGTACATGACCCTGAAGGATAGTATCATGAACAAAAACATCTGAAATAAATTCTAATAAAAAAAAACTATAAAAATCTTAAATAATTCATGATATAGGCAAGTCACCACATAATAGATGCTTTGATAAACAAAATCTTACAAATTTTAGTAAAAAAAATAAATCAGCAGCATAAGATAAAGCAAATATTCAAAAATTTTAAAACATGATAAAATAATTAGGTTTACATTATAGTTAATTACAGCAAAAATACAATTCAGTTTTGTTGCTGTTTTAAAACAACTTAAGTTTTAAATTACATCACTTGAAATAAAAAAAAATAAACTACAAAATGAATTCTACATTTTTGAAAAATCACTCAAAAATAAGACCACTGAATTGTTTTGAAAGTAGTTCTATCAATGACTAAACAACTCCCCATCCCTCCCGCCACCCGCCCCAAGGCCCAAGTAGTCATCTGCAGCAGCCCAGAGGTCCAGCTGATGCTTCGAGACTGCTGTCTGTATCTGAGGCCAAAGTCGGGTCTGTTGACATTGAAGACACATCATTGGCAGATGATGCTGATGATGGGCGCTGAGAGCCGCTGGTCACTGCTGCACCTGCGCTATGAGAAACAGAGTGGCACATCAGTTGCAGACAGAGTCGCAGGCCCAGCTACTTGTGCTGTACTGATTCCCATCAGTGGTCAATGTTTCTCTTGGCTTTAAAAGGCCCACTAAAAATGAACACAAGTGATATTCAATACAATGCTAATTTACAAACTCTTCCATTCCAATTTATGAAGTGAAGATTCTGAAAATGTCTGGAAACCTGGAATCTGGTCCTTTCCCCAAATTTGCTTTTCAGTTTGGGTCAGGAACTCTTAAGTCCAAGCCACATTTAAAAATAATTAAGATTAATGAATTGGCTTCAGGTCGTGTGTGAATAATATTAATACATGTAAAATTACCTATTGCATTTTGTTGAAAACAGGTTCTCAAAGGGATGTATGACTCCATAAGTTTTAACTTTATTTAAAGTTACTGCCCTAATACAAAATGATTTATGATGTCTTCTCACTGTGAAGTCCAAACAATACTTCTAGTACATCTTGTTTTAAAGCAAAAGCCAAGACAAAGACTAAAATGATTTTAATTGGAAGGGTCTGTAGTTCAACTGTTCCAGTTTAGCTGAGGGTCACTCAAGGGCCCTAAATAAACTCATGTCTTGTTATTTCCAGTCTAATGAATACTTGAAAAATGCAAACATGGACTTATTAAATAGATTAAATGGGGAGAGACTGTTTTCTTTACCAAAAGTATAGCCTAACAAGCATTTCCTCAATTTAAAAAATAGGAATACTTAACCTATAGAAAAATCCTTTTAGGAGGGTTGGGTCAGGAAGGTGGAGGGAATGATACTGGTGGGGAGATGGGGAGTATGTTAAAGGTGATTCATGCACTAAGCAAGTATTATCGAACTACATGATTACAAAATAAGGGTCATTCCAAATTTGAGTATGTTAAATAATGCAAGTTATACAAAAGTTTTTAAGAACACATTCATGGAATAAAGATGATCATTTCCAAATGAGTAATAAGTAGAATTTCTAGGGGTGAGTTTCAGGTGCTCAATGATGCTAAAACTAAAGCAGGTTGAAAACCTATGCTTCAGAACCCAGCATCTCACTGGTTGAAATTATCCACCCACTCTTATCTAATGACAAACAATAAAACACTTTAATATGAAAGGTCCTCTAAGAGCTTGCCTTCAAATGCAACCAGGTAAGAGCCAAGGAAATGGGAAGAGGCAAATCTTTTGGGCTCTGGGGAGGGCACTGGAAGACAAAAAAGAATAGAACTACAAGGGCCAGAGCAGGTGGTGGGAAATGAGATGGGAAAGTAAAGCAGACTGAGCACTCCAGGCCTGAGAGATGGGACAACAGGAGAAATGTGAGGACCTTCTAGACCTGAGAAAGGCCCATTAGGTTCCCAGAAAGACTGAGAGGAAGATACTATACTTTCTAAAGTTCAATCCACATGACATTATAGAAGGCTTCTGTTCTGACTAAAGAGTATCATGGCTAGCTTCAAACATCTGCACTAAAATGTTCAAATCATAAAAGGGTTCCACAAATATATTTTTCCATGACTCTATTTTTTATCCAAATTTCACTTAGTCCAAATTTTCTTCATAAAAAAACTGTCAAATGCATAATTAGCTATTAACTTTTTAATCTGAAAATCAAATACCTAAGAAAAGAAAAATACTTGTTTTTCTCTGAACTTTAAAGCAATCTAGTAAATTTTTAAATATATGAAAAGCAGTAATATGGAAAATCTTTAATGTCAGTCATCTGGGTCATTTCCCTCTCTCAGGTTAGTCTCTACGCACTTAAAGGCATGTAAAATTTTCATATTAGCCAAACCAAAATAAAGATAGGAAGGCAATTCAGTGGGCAAAATAATACATTTCATTTTTAAAAATCAAATCAAAATGGTGTTGTGATTATCTGACATTTTGATTTGCCAAAGACTATTTCTTCTGTTTTTGCATATAATCAAGAACTGAATATTTTTATAACAGCTTCATTTACTAAAAGTCTTCTCTACATGCTGTTTAACTGAGAACCCAGAAAATGTCTAGAAACCTGCAGTCCTATCCTTTCCACTGACTTACTTTGTAACCATATTCAAGTGTTGTCCAGCATCCAAATTCTTCACTTAGTAAGAACAAATAACACTGCTCTATCTCATTAGATAATTAGGCTTACTCAAACATTTGACATTTAGAATGTGCCATTCACTATCATAGTATGCTAAAATATAAATACATGTTTATGTCAATGTAAAGCTAATTAACTCAGCCATTGAAGTATTTATAAATAGCTTTTGTTCAGTTAAACTGTAGGTAAAAGCTGTTGAAACCAATTTATATTTTCCACAAGATCTATATTATAATTTAGAAGGTTGCATTTCTGACCAAGGATTTAAAAAGCAAAAAAATTAAAAAAACTAAAAATGTCACAGGAAACCACAAAAATTATTTAAACAAATATATGTTTATGGTACAACGAAATGGGCACCTGAAACTTGTGGTCAAAAAAAAAATCTTACCCATAAACAACATACTAGATGTGATATCTAATTGTTTTCTGAGACTGTAGACAAGTTTTAGAAGGATGATTAAAATGGCATAGTTTTACTCGATTTCAAGACCTATCGGCAGCTTGAAACACTAGTCAGTCTTTAAGGGTCAGTTCAAATTTCATCTCTTCCACAAAACTGTCCTAACCTCCAAAGACAGAGCCTCTGCTATCAGCCAGAGCTCACATGGGATGCTAGAAAAACTATGTCCTCTTAAGTTACTGATAAACATGGCTTCAAGTATTAGCTTTTCTACATAATAGATTTGTAATCTTACATCATTTAATTTTTCTGAACTTTAATTTCCTCATCTGTAAAATGCATAATAACCCCTTCCTTGGGACCTGGGGGTTGATTGAAATAAAGCACATAAACCACAGGGTCTGTCATATAGTATGTACTTAATATGCACGTGTTAACTATCATTAATTTTTCTGCTTAATTCTTTATGCTTTTACAAGTATTAACATTAAATAAAAGATGAGCTTATGATAAAAGAAAATGTTTAACTTCTGCAAACCAGTTTCCTCTTAGGACATTTTCTAATGGAAGTTTTAATGTTACAGATTTAGTTCAACAAATCAAAAATACCTAAGTGAGAAAGATCGTAATTTGGTATCACACATATCAATTTTTTTAATGAAGCCTTAGTTATTTATCTAAACAGTTAAACTCATAGAAAAGTAAGTATGTTGAATTGCAAGAAATTTCTTCTTTAAGACAATGCCAGTAAAAAAAAAGACTTACATTTCTATTCTTCAATGAAATGTTAGTATCTTAGAAAAAGATGTGCATTTTTTATAAAGTCAGTTATCAATATTTTAGTATGGTGTAAAATATCAGTGTACCAGTGCTTTCAGATTTAACCACCCAAATTGTATTCCTTATACTTATTAAACTTTGAATAATGGTAGTAGATATGGAAAAAGGTGCAGGTTTCTTCACTGGGATTTACAAGATGTAAACTGTAATCTTAACCAAGCTTATATTGTAACCAACCTAAGGGAGAGGGTTGCCCCCGTATAACTCCATTCTTGGTTCTCTCCTCCAAGTCCATAACTTCTTTGTATATCAGTTCTGAAAAAGAGGTGAACAAAAACCAACTTTTCAATTCATGAGAGCCAATCTCACATGGCATGTATGTTCTGAGTAGAAGAATTTTACATGCATTACGTACTTTGAATAGTGTCCTTACAACAGCAGAGTGTCCATAAATATCAGCCTAAGAGTCAAAGGTGTTAACAATTTCTTGATCCTGAACCACAAATTATATTGAAAGAAACGACATCTTTGCTATAACTACTGTCCCTAAAGTTGGATTAAGGATAGAGCAAGGTAAAGGCTTTATTTTTTCTATTCCACCAGCACTTTGTATTACACCGTATCATACCACAGATCATTCTGTACTATGGACAAATGACTGTTTAATTCTGTCTCAATGAAGGCTTGAATCACATTTGTGTCATTAGCTTATATTTCCTGAGCCCTGATATAGTACCTGATACACTTTAGGTGCTTACCTAGGTATCTGTTGAAAGACTGAAATGTAAGAGTGTATGGAACTTCTTTAATTAGAATGGAATATATTTTTATTAAAGAAAAAGAAACAGGTACCTACACTTCAACTCCTCATGAGATGAAGCATGACATGCTATCATTGCCAAGATTTCTCCATGGGAACTGTGTGCTCTTACTAGGCTTCTAGACAGTGGACGGACTGCTGTAAGGACTGTTCCAGCTGGAGAGAGAGAACTGGGGCTGCCCTGCCAGTCTATGTGCCTCCTGCCCTGTATTACTCTAAATGATCCTGATGTCAAGTATAGTGTGCCTTGTGAGACTGAACATCTACTTAAGAAGAGCCTTCCTTTTGGTGGATACTACATTGACAATACTCATCTTCTTCTTTGGGTCATCGAATCCTTTGAGAATTACATAAAAGCAATAAACCCTCTTCTGAGAAAAATGTACAAGCAAGAAATGTTGCACAGAATTTCAGGAGTCTGCAATCCCTTAAACTTCTGATGATAATCTCTGGTTACAGGGTATGACAACATTTATGTTGGTAGTAAGGTAAAATAAGTGGATATGTTGGGACAAATATAAGCTAGACACACCTAAGTTTGCTTGCTAAGGTAGCCTTCTTGGGTTTAGAAGAACAGAAAGTCTAGCTAGAGGAAAGAATGGAAGATGCTTTTCTTTAAAGAAACAAAAGGAATGATAAACATTGTACACAGTAGGATTAAAAAGGGAGAGATAGAAAACGAGTACCCCTTTGTGAAAAGGGATTAAGGCAGAAGAACCTTTTTAAAAACTAATTAAGAGTACTAGCTAGGAGAAGTAATCTGTAGTTAATGGCTGTGGTAATGGACTTTTCTGTTATGATGCTAAACTCTTGAGAAGATCTTGAAAAAGGCAACGTGTGGGTAATTAACTTCATTGCACTTGAGGCTAGGAGAAAAATATACAGAATAAAAGTAAACATGTCTAAAAGCAATAAAAAATCCCAGACACATCCTTCCACAAACAAAAAGGCTATGTTTCACTAACTTGAAGATGCATTTCTTTCACAGTTTATTATTTCTGAAATTGGGTTGCATCTTATAATCAATGGAGCAGTGTAACTAAGCAGCATTTTATTTTTCTAAGTGGTACACAATGGTGTATTTTACAATTGGTGGCCTATTCAGAATGTAAGAAATACTGTAAATGTCTATTGTAAATGTAGTGATATATAAAAATATCAGGTGGATATTGTAATATGTATGCTGGTCCACAGTTATATCCTTGTATATTACTTATTACATATACAGATACACTAGGTTCTACTCAATTCTATGAATCTTGTGGGCTCTACAGAGTCTAACTACATGTCTCTCAGAGTCAACTCAGAGAAGATTAAACTCTGGTTATTCCTATGAAAAAAGAGTCAACTTCAAGCCTCCCTGATAAATTTATAGATGGATTACCTGTGCAAGTTTACACCTCTCCAGTCCCTTTTGCCTTCCTAGAATTTAAGCACTTTGCTGTTAATAACATGTTGTCTGTCTCCATTTTCTGATCAAGTAAAAAAAAGGGGTCAAGTGACTTACCTAAAGAGTCACATAGCTACAAAAATGGTCAAAACACTCAATGACAAAAACACAAATAGAGGTAAGCAAGCTCTAAAAATTACCTGGCCCAAAGGTCCCAGGGAATCTTTTAAAGAAAGAAAACTTTTAACATCTCCATGATTGTCACAGCATTATCAATGTTCACATTCACAGAATAAAACTACTATATATAAGACTTGCAAAAATTAATAACTCATTCATTCTGTAGGTGAGGGTAGGGGTAAAACAGACATTTTCTTTATGATGCTGATAGACATGTAAACTGCTAAAATTTCTTTGGAGAGTACTTTGGAAATACACTTGACCCATGAACAACTGCAGAGGTCAGGACCACCTACTCCCTTTGCAATTGAAAAGTCCACATATAATTTTTGACTCCCCCAAACTTAACTACTAATAGCCTATTGTTGACTAGAAACTTTACTAATAACATAAAGAGTCAATTAACGTATATTCTGTATATGTATTATATACTGTATTCCTACAATAAAGCTAGAGAAAGGAAAATCTTTTTTTTCAAATTGTCACAAATCTCCAAAAAAATCTTCCAATATTTATTGAAAAAAGTCTGTGAATAAGTGGACCTGTGCAGTTCAAACCCATGTTGCTCAAGGGTCAACTATAATTGAAAAATATTCTTCAGCCCAGCAAATCTTATAGGATTTTCCTTAAAGGCATGTTCTCACATGTTCACAAGAATATTGCAGAATTGTCTGTGACAACAGACTGAACACAACACAAATGCTTGTCAAGGGGATGAATACAGAAATTGTGACCCAGCCATACAGCAGAACACAAATCATTTATTAAACTAAATGAGCCAGATATATGGAACAAGATAAAATAACTTCTAAGATACATTACTAGAGCAACAAAATAAATGTGCACAGTATACAACCATTTGTGATTAAAACAGTGGGAGGGAAGGGGAGACAACAGACATATGTTTGTGTATTGTAGACTATAGAGGAACATAACCTTCCAGAAAGCACTAATGTGTCTGCCTGGAGTGGGGAACATGAAAGATTAGGATTAAATCAGGAAGAACAGGAGACATTTTCTACTTTTGTAAAAATACTAATAATCATATTACCAAATAATCAGTTATGAGAAAGAGAAAATATTTTCAATTCCCCTAACACAATGAAAAAATCAACACAAACACCAGAAGCACTTTCCATTTCATCTTTAATAATCTGATTATTGTCACCTTTCCACTCTTCTATCGTGTGCTCTCTTTCATCTAACTGCTTGTCAGGGATCTTTGGTGGTGGCTGAAAGACACAAGGCGACCGTGACTGAGTCAGCTTACTGGAAGTAGATGAATTCTTTATGATTATACATTAATCAGACAGAAAGCTTGTAAAAATACAATCATTAGCCCAAGACTGATTAATCACCAACCTTTATGTAGAGAGACTAGCTTTCTAGTTTTGGAAGACTCCTTCATGACAAGAAAAAATATGTTTAAACATCTTTTTTTTTTCTTCCAGTTTTTGTAACTGTCATGTTTTATTTATATCACAGAATTGTGCTATGCTTTGTGCTAAAATGTGTTTTATAACTAAGTTAAGATGTTTTCCCAAAATGCTCAACATTCTAGTGGATCAGATAGGTACCAAGGCAAGAAGGCAAGAAAAAGTGGGATAAACTATTTTGTGTAGAGGTTGCTTGGCTATGCTCATTAACTTAAGGTACTTTTCATTCATAATCAGACCACCACATTTTTATTTAAATTAAAATGTCTCCTCCAAACCTAACTTTAATTCTAACTCTAAGAGTGCAAAATATTCTTCAAACATTAAAAAACAGAACTTACAGCTTCTGCTTCAGAAGGGTCATACCAGACATTGATATATGGGTGCTGGAGAGCTTCATCTACGGAGATCCTTTTAGATGCATCAATTACCAGCATTTTGGATAATAGATCCCTTGCCTGACTGGCTGCAAAAATAATGTTAATGTACACTTACCTCATAAAGGTTTTTAAATTATCAATACATTTCAGAAACTTGAATTTATTAAAACCTATATTTTAAAAAGAATAAATTTTACATACATGTGATTAAAAAATATAAAATTACAGAAAAAAATAACTAAAACCTCAACTTTGTTCAATCATCCAGAGATAACAAGGTTATGTCCCATAAGAACATGAACATACACACATACACAACCCTAAAATGGGATTAAATATACATATTTATAAAGAATACCTTTAAGTTTGTTGTGCTCTGAGTCAGCCGGGAAAAGTACATCAGGGAAGAGTTTCTCAAAGCTATATCCAGCATATTTAGGTCTGTTTTCAACGTAAGTCCTTACTGTTGGTTGTAGTTTCTTCATGAATTCAGGACAAGGTGTTCCAAGCTGTTCAATAACTTTATTCCACTGATCAATATCTAATATCAAGTAGCTAAGAAAAATACTCTGTATCTAATGTTTGACACATTAGTCATATCCATATTAAAATAACACAAAAATAGTAACTTAAAAAATCCTAAGAAAGAATATGGCAGTTATAAATCTTTATCTTACAGCCACCGTGCAAAAGGCAATGACTGTAGGTAGACAGAAAGGATCAATAAACAAGCTTTGTTAATGTTATTCAGAGTGTGTGTATATGTGTGTGTGTGTGCATGTGTGTGTGTGTGTGTGTGTGTCTACTAATACTGATTTTAACCTTAAAAATGGAAGTTTAAACTCACAAACTCTAAATGCAAATGACAGTGACTCAAAGAATAATAATGAATACCTACAAGGATTCTAAGTAAAAACTGTACACAATTCTAGACTATAAAATTTGCCTTTCCTTCTAGCTTATCAGAAAATGTGAGTTTACTAAAGGACAAGAAATATCTTTTATAACCTATCCTGCATTTTTGAGAGTTTTCTACACTAATGGAAAATAACCAGTAGCAATAAAAATGATGGCTTTGGTAAAAGTGGCATTTTCTTTTGCCATTCTTTGTTTAGTTTATGTTAATAAAAATTTTTCAAAGGTCTGAAACTCAAGAAAATGACAGTATTCTGGTAAGCTGTAAGGTTAGGATTCCCTTGTCACTCTCTTCCTAGTCTTTATAGTCCAAATCCTCCCTGCTGACTAAGACCTGTAACTTTCTTACTGTGACCCAGTGCATGGATGGCTCTTTGCATTCCTCCTCCTAAAACAATTCTAAGTGTTACTAGCTGGTAAACACAAAACAAATCACTGTTAAATATTAAAAGAAGTCAGATGAACAAAAAGCATGAACCCAAATCTACTCATCACCATATAAAACTATTCCTGCTGAAATTCTCAAATGAAAAGATTAGTATGTTATGTTGAAGAATGCAACAACCGAAAGACACAAAACACAGAAAACATTAACAAAAAAAGGAGGCAGCAGGGGACAAGACACAAAATAAAAGGGTGACCAGAAGCAATAGACCACTCCAAAATTAAGATTAAGTACTAAGTACATCCAGACTTACTTAAGTGTGTAATTATTAGAAATTTTTAATGCAAGCCATGATTTTTGATTTAGCTTAAATAAATCAACTCAAAGCCAGCAAGTAATTGTGGATAATTAACTTGATAAGTTGTCAGAATTAATATGAAACAATAAATGAGGGAAAGGAAAGTCTATGTCAAATAGCAGGTGGTATTTTGAAAGAGTAATTTAACAATACCTTATTATTAGGGAGAGACAAAATACATTATACCTGACACCAAGCTGAAGTGCTATTATACATTTTGACCTTTAGAAAATACATTTTAGGCCAAAGATAAGGATACGATCTGTACCTGGGAACAAAACACCACCTTTGATCATTTCTCCCATGATGCACCCAACTGACCAAATGTCAACTGAAAACAAAATGCAATGACATTAACATAAAGATTTTGGTTAAAATAAAAAAAACATATAAACATTAAAAAAAATAACACACACCATGTATACTTCAAAATCATAGAAAGCAGTATAAAATAAAAGTGAGTGACAGTGAATGTGCTCTAACTACCAGCAGAGACTGTATGTCCTACTGCCAGATGCAGCCTACAAATATTTCAGCTACTTATCTCAACAATTTTTGGACCATAACAGGCATGAACTTTACATCTGTTTTAAAAAACCCATATGTATGAACATACCATACTCATTTTCATTACAGAACATACGAAGTTTGTCATCTAACTAATTAAACTGCTGCAGCAGCACAAGGATACAGTCCCTTCCTGGAAAGAGGATTTTGTGGCAAACCATTTCTCCCATAATGCACCCCACAGACCATAAATCCACTATATGTTTGCAGCACAAAAGAAGGAAAAGCAAAGCAAAAGGTCGTTAAAATCAAAGAAGCATAATATGACTGCATTATATAAAAACTGCAAAACACCACAAAAAGAAGTGATTTGAATTTTAGCTAATGGAGTAATTTAAAACACAAAACATTTTTCAAAAGGCTTGATTCACAAAAGCAAACATGAAGTGTGGCCTTTTAACTATTTATCTAATTTTAAAGTGAGAGCTATGCACAGAAATCACATAATTAAAAAATATATACATTTTGCCCCTGAAAATTTGTTTATAAAATATAAAATAGAATCAAGCACAAACTTTGTAAATAAAGCTGAAAATGTACATAAGCTAGAAAAAAGTAAAAAAAATAAATTTTTGATACTATGCTGAAGTTCAACTGTGCATTACTCTCTCTTTAAGTCAAATAAAAGAAAAAGGCATGAGCAGAAATAATCTAGTATATTAAAATATTTAACAATAAGAATGTGTTCCTATGAATAATTAGTTAAAAAGTTAACCTAAAGCTCTTCAGAAATTTTTAAACTGGAATTTGTAAATTTATTTGAGAAGTGTTTAATTTGAGTTGAAAGTCATTTGTTTTCTTGGTAATATCATGCTACATTTACCCTCCTATCCCAAAAGGAGCAAGTACACAAACAATCAGTTAAGAAAACTTAGTGAAAGAAGTGTATTTCATGCTTGTCCCCCTAAAGTTTTTTAAACCCATGGAACCAAACTGCTTTTGGTTTAAGAAGTTAACCAAAGTTTGCTGGATATAGTCTGAAAGTTCCCACAGTTTATTATCTGCAGAGTCTCCTAGTTGGCTTACTGACCCTCGTCAGCTTTAAATAGTTCTAATCAATTCCATAAAGAATCTGCTAGACACAGAAGTTCAATTTGGGGATCTCTACCTGTTTCATTAAACAATACACCCTGACATTTTATATTTTTGAGTCTGAAAATCAGATAAAAAGAGAAGTATGTAGCTAGATTTATTATGATCACTTTGTAGTGTATATAAATACTGAATCACTTTCTTGTACACTTGAAACTAATACAGTATGCCAACTATACTTCAATTAAAAAAGTGTGCTTACAGTTTAATAGAAGAGGGGTAGAATAAGAAATTTAAAAAAGGAAAGCCTTAGAAACTTGCATTTTTCAAGTTTGAAGACCCAAATTCTGTAAGATTTTGCAAAAGAGGAAAATGGTAGGAATGGATGTTAGAGAAAGATACACCCTTCATCCATGCTGGAAAACTTAGGAAATCAAAGTCTATACTTTCTAATACACTCACTCATGAGGAGACTGCCAGTTCATCACAGAATCTTACAAGCTAAACAAGGAATACATTTGGGAAATCCTGTGAAACTACGTTTCTCTAAAATTTCATATTAAGATACATACTAATCTTTTTATATTTATGGTATGGTTTAACTTTCAAGGATAAATTTTAGAATTAAAGGTAATATTCATATATCAGTGAAAATTTTTTTCCAGAGTTCGGCAAAAATCTCTTACACAAACTTTCCCTATAGATTTTATAGAGAATGGCAGGCTTTAATATTTACTATTAGGTAGCAAAATATTAAATATATTTTATATAAATATGAAATTTAATGTTTAAATATTAAATCTAATTTATATAAATATAAAATTTAATATTTAAATCCAGGACAGAACTTGTGTAGGTAATCTTAAGAAAAACACATTTTTAAACAGAATTTTGAAAGCTGCAAGCATGAGAGAAGATATCTTCTAGGTCTTTGAAGACTTTTTCAGGACATAATAACCCTGATTCACATATAAAAGTAGTTTTAAAGGGTCTAACTGCTCAGTCTGTTAATAAGGCAGTTTAAATATATTCCATTATATCACACTTTCCAAAAAGCTTTGAGGTGGCTTCCAATAAAAGATAAAACAAAGTTGTTAAAACAGGTGGGAATGGGTGGGAAGCAGGGATGGAGGGGTGTCACTAAAAGAAGTTCTTACGTTTAACCTTGCTGGCTAATGTAGTATGATTAAGCATTACATTTGACTCAGTTTTCTGGGGCAAAAAAAGGCAATAAGGTGACTGATCTACATAATTCTTATCGAACATAGGAAAGCATGTCAATTCTTTATATGATTGTTTTTCTTGGTGCTAATTGACAACAGGGAATTATCTCCAAAGATCACATTCATAGGCTACTGAATGACACATTATACAATATTTGTGACAATCAGTGGTTTTACAGCAAATGTAAAGCAGTCTTCAACCTAGTCACTTGAAAGATTAATTCTCAAAAAGAGAATCTAATATATAGCTAAATCCAGCTCACTGGATTCTACAGAGTATAAAGCAATTTTAGGTAGAAAGTAAGAAAACAGAACAGCATATGATTTAAGGACAAAAGAATAACAGTAAATGTTTAAAGTATTTGTTTTTAATTAGCTCAGAAAAGAAAAGGAAATCAAGCTAAAACCCTCACTCAGTTCAATGTTGTCTTTTATAAATAGAATCTTGAAGACTGACTTAGTACTATTCTGATTCAAAGTGAATGGCTGTTCTAGGTTTCTTGCTAGAAAAAAAATCTAGCTCCTATTCTAGGGAATATTGTGAATGAAGTTACAACATTTACAAAGTTATCATTTAAATCAATAAAATCCTGCACAGACTTAACTCATCTCCTAAATGTCTGAGATTCAACAAAATTTCTTCTTAAATATAAATAAATATAATTTAAAAAAATTCATTAAATGCATGCCTGATAATTTCCTTCAACCTTGATTCTAATGCTGATACATATAATTGATTAAACCCATACAAAATAATGCCATTTCTTAAAGCCTGGACAAAAAGCTTTGATGCAACATTATTTCCTCCAAAAGGTCACCTTAATTAATTATCCGTCAGTTTTGCAGAATGGCCTCATTGTAGGTCTTAAATTTTACATTAAGGGCTACTGCTATTAACTTTATTTTCATGGGGTATTGGAAATATGTGCAAATACCACTAATGCAAACAAGAATGACTACTAAAGATAAACAGTCAGTCCACCATACACTTCCTCGAGGCCCTGTTAGAAATGCTAATTTTCAAGTTACAGATAAGCAAATGCCAGTATTCTGTTTCAGGGGCCAAGGCAACAAATTCTTTATTCAATATTGATGGCTATGTATTTGTGTTAAATAGGGGCCCCAAGTTTTTGCAAACATTTATGACAAACTTATAGTTACTTTCAAATTCTTGATAAACATTTCAAATGGTGATATGCATATAACTCTATGCACTTCAGCTTTTTAAATATTTACATAAGACATCTCATAAAAAGTAAGTCAGAACAGTAATTCAAGTAAATAGTATTTGCTGACCGTTTTCTTTGTAGCCCATTCCTAGGATGACCTCAGGTGCTCTGTAGTAGCGAGTCACTACATAAGGTGTCATCATAAAACTAGTTCCTGCAGTCCTTGCCAGTCCAAAGTCAAGAATCTTCAAAGTGCAGTCTGATTTTACTACTATATTACTGGGCTTTAAGTCCTTAAAAAAAAAAAATGACTGCTATGATATATACAATTGTTTTGAAGCTCACAAGTTATCAGATCACCTGTAAAATGATTCATGTCAACTCTTCATTACTCTAATTGTTATCACTACATAGGTTCATCATAATAGGCAAATTTGAGAAATTAGCTTGATGGCATTTTAAATCTATGAATGCATACAGTTATTAGAGATGTTAGTAATGTTTTATTTGTTAGAAATTATGATGAGAAATTTTCAATCAAGTGGAAAAATGTGATTTGGAAAGGCATCTTCAAAACTCACATAAACACTATTATGCTAAAAGAAAGAATCACAAGTTAGCATTTATACTTACTTTTGTGCTAAATTACCACATATTTAAAAATCTCACTTTAAAGTTATAACAAGCTTTGTATAGAAATCACAAATCAATTATGAGCCATTCTATGTCATCCAAGCAAATGCAATTCGACCTTTCAAATTAGATGTTTAATTCTAAGGGACTGAAACAGTCACTGTCCATCTTTTCATCACCGATTTCACACCCAAAATGACACAAATGTGTTTATAAAGTTTTTCCTGTCTGTAGGTATTTTTGTCTTGGTGCCACTAATCCATAAAACTATTTGCCATTGATGCTACTAAATAGTATCTTTGTGAAGAACTTACCACCTGACCCCAGCCCTAAGAAATTTTGTGCTGTGATCATTAAAATGAAGGCAGCAACTAAACACTTATGGCTTCAAGTTCAATTCACTTTGCCTGTTAGCTCTAATGAATCCTATTATGAACCAAGAGACCAAAGAAAGCAAACATATATACCACAACTCAAACACATTCTATTACTGGTACTGACATGCAGTACATATATTGAATACTGCTGATTAGTACAGAAGAAAAGAGAGCTGGCCCGCAAGACAATGATTAGTTTTATAACCTCTAATGTCTATATGCAGAAGAGCATGAATGTTGTTTTTAGCATATTTTGATAGGCAGCCATGGATGGGTTTAGAAGATAGGGAATCTAAGGGCTTTATCAAAAATAGGTATCAACAGGTTTAGTGAAACAGAAGATGAAGAATTCATTTTCACTATTGGTAAATATGATGTTGCCACTATTTCCAAAATACACTACCTCAGCAACCTAACACTGCATGTTCAAAAATAGATTACAAGCTTTGATACTACTTCAGTGTCTGCTGTGCTGGTTAAAGATTAATGGCTTTATATGCCACTGCATTCTAGTCTGGAAATGAGATTCCAACCTTAAACACTTTATTCTCGAAAACTTAAGAACAAAATACAACTTTCTTAGGAATAGGCATTTTTTAAGGAAAAAACAATGCTGAAAAATATTACCTGAAATTCATCTTCATGCAGTAATTATCTTTCTACAGATGTTAGTATCACTGTCAGCAATACCTAAGAATTACTAAGGTTGTAAGAATTTGTGACAGAAGTAGTGGAACTAACCTAATATTCTCTTTTCCCCCACATTTTTCCAGCCTAAATATGATTGGTTCTAGTCACGGGGATGTAAGCAGAAGCAAAGAGTAGAAGGGCCAGTGTACAATTTCCTGTTGTTTCTTCCCCTGCTTTGGTGATCAGCAGCATTCCAGATAGTGAACCCTGTCAGCCTGGGTTGTTGAACATCTCTGTAAAGCAGAGTCCTCACCCCACTATGACCTGCAATGGACATGAAGTGTGGGAAATAAACCGTAGTTGTGTTAAGCCATTGACAATTGAAGTTTTATTTGTTACCTTCGCATAGCTTAGTTGTGATATTATGAATAAAAAATAGATACTTGGCCTTAGTTCCAGTTACTGGCATAGATCTCCTAAAACCCTTGGCATTTCCTAAGTGATAAGAGCAATAAAGGTGAAAGTAGTGCTTTTTGTTCGTCATAAGAGGCCCCTTTCAACTACACCTGAGTTTGACTTAATGAGGTAGCTTCTGGAGAGCCCCACAGGATGGGGGCTGGTTGCCAGGGGAACCAAACAGTTGGTAGCAGGCTGATGAGAGGGTTGGAACTTTCAGTTGGACGTCCCAGACCTCTTGGGAAGGGAAAGGGGCTAGTGAATGAGCTCAATCACTAATGGCCAATGATAAAATCAATCATGACTACATTATGAAGCTTCCATTAAAGCCCAAAAGAACTGGTACTGAGAACTTCTGACTGGTGAACATATGGAGGCACTGGGAGAGCAGCACACCTGGAGAGGATGTGGAAGCTCTGTACCCTTTCCCACCTATCTTGCCCTTTGGCTGTTCCTGAGTTATGTCCTTTGTATAAACCTGTAATCTAGTCAGTAAAATGTTTTTGTGAGTTCTGTGCTACTGTTTAGTTAGTTTTGTGAGAGGGGGTCATGAGAACCTCCAAATTATAGGCAGTAGACCAGAAGTACCAGTAACAATATGGGCTGTGATCAGCATCTAACTTGGAGATAAGCCTTTGTGGGACTGAGCCCTTAACCTGTGGAATTTGGTATCATCTCCAGGTAGGTACTGTCAGAATTGAGTTAAATTGTAGCACACCCAGCTTGTGTACCAAACATCTGAGAATTATTTGCTGTGAGAAAAACAAATACTACTTTCAGAAGTATTTATGGCAGGTGTGAGATAAAAGGAGACATACAGTGTCTATCTTACCCTAGTCTATTCTAACACTGAAACTGGTGCCAGGAGTGGGATGTTACTATTAAAACCACAGGACCATAGTTTAGCAGTTGAGCATCAGGAAGTAGGGAAACTAATATCAATGGTTAGAAAGGTGATCCAGGTTCTACAGTAGCAATACATTTCATGGCACTGTCACCTGACATCTTAAAGCACAGCATCCCGTACTGAACTGGAAGCTCTAGAACAGGATCGGCAAATTAAGGACTGCCTAGACAGGCATGTCCTTAGGAAAACCATGCTCATTTAATTACCAACTGTCTTCGCTGCTTTTGTGATACAGTGGCAAAGTTGAATAACTCTAACAGAGACTATTGTCTGCAAAGCCTAAAATATTCACTATCTGGCCTCTACAGAAAATGTTTGCTAACTCCTGCACTAGAAGAAGAGACTGAAAGGCAAAACTTTAGTAGTGTGTTTTGGTGTCTATTGGCTGCATTTGGAAGAATGAGACTTTAAAAGAAATGAAAGGAAAAAGAGAATATAGAATTTCAGGGCTTTGTCATTCTGGAAAAACTAAATGGTACTAGAACCTTCAGAAAAAAAAAGCAGACTGTTCAGGATTATCTCCCACTCACAACCCTAGTATACAGATCTTCCTCAACTTACAATGGAGTTACATCCTACTAAGCCCATCATAAACTGAAAATTTCCCAAGTCAAAAATACCTTTACTACACCTAACTACCAAACGTCCTAGCTTAGCTTTTTGTTAGTCATAAGAGGCCCCTTTCAACTACACCTGAGTTTGAGTTAATGAGGTAGCTTCTGGAAAGCAGCACACCTGGAAAGGGTGTGGAAACATGCTCAGAACACTTACATTAGCCTACAGTTGGGCAAAATTATCTAACATAAAGTCTATATATATGTGTTGAGTATCTCATATAATTTATTGAATACTGTACTGAAAAACAGAATGGTTGTCAGGGTATAGGATGGCTGCAAGTGTATTGGTTGGTTTCCCTTGTGAACACGTGGCTGGCTGGGAGCTACTGCTGCTCAGCCTCACAACAGAGTATCTATCCTACCACGTATCACCGGCCCAGGAAAAGATCAAAATTCAGAATCTGAAGTATGTTTTCCATTTAATGCATACTGTTTTGCACCACCAAAAAGTTTAAAAAAAGAAATCATAAGTCACATCAACATACATCAGGAACCACCTGTACTTCACTTTAGTAATGGGCCTATTCAGATGGTTTGTTTCGGCCAATGAAGCATGATGGAATGTTATGCTCACCAAATGTAAAAAAAGGTTTAAAATGTGCTTGCTTGATTTAGTTTGGTTCTTGCTCTTTTTACACCATGAGAAAAAGATGTGTCCCAGAAAGGCACTCCTTCAGTCTGGAAGCTGAAACCTGAACATGGAACAAACTGTGAACCTGACCCATCATCTTAAGTACCATACAGCTAATCTGCAGACTCTTGAGCAAGCAATAAATAGTGTTTTAAGCCGCTGATATCTTAGATTTGTTTCTTAAGCATCATCTTCACATAACAATTCTGAAAGCCATGAGTCAGAGGCTGGGGTAAGACCTGTACAATCTTTAAATTGATAAAAATGCCTCAAACTTGCCAACAGAAGCCTGAAAGCTTCAAGGTAGACACTAAGTCCAAAAATATAGAGCCAGTGAGCTAACAAGTATGCTTTGAAAAGAAATGCAATTAAAAATAAAAGAAACCTCTTAAGTTTCTGAGAGAGCTGTACTACCAAAAAACTCCACTAGTCTGTGACAATTCAAGCCTTAAAACAGTAGCAATTCAGGGCAGTTCTGCCCCAGGGATTATTTGGCAATGTCTGGAGACATTTTCAGTTGTCACAATTGGGAAGTATTACTGGCACCTAGTGGGTAGAGGGCAGAAATGCTGGTAAACATTCTATAATGCACAAGACAGCCCCCTGAAAGAAAAAATCATTTATCCAAATGTCAACAGTGTCCAGGTTGAGGAGGACTACCTTAAAATGGCATGCGAGCCCTCAATCTTTTGCAAATAGGAGGCTGGGAAACCTGAGCAGACCACTGATGAGAACACATGTTCTCCCCATCAAGGAGAACATATTTTCTAATACCCACTACAGATATATTCAAGGATAGTGGAAAAGAAAGACTCCAGTGAAGCCATACACAACAGAGAACAGTGGACAGAATGCTCCTCAAAGAAATCAGACTCAGTACCTAATCAAGGAATATTCCCCACCCCCAGGGCAAGTCACACTCACAATGTCTGCCCAACAGAATTTCAAGTTACAAATAACCCATGACTGAATTTTTCAATTTCCCAAATGGGATTATATTCATTGTGATTATTCTGGATCTGTTTGACAACTGTATCTAGGG